GGCACATTTGGTTGCCATACCTGGTCAGGAGATGTCGTTGATCGCATGTCTGATGGCAGAACAGTAATGTTTGCGTGGATTCCTCGAGACTATCATCGGAGACGGTATCTCCATCTTGATCCTGGAAAGAGTCATCTGATGCCGTCTTCGTTGAATGAGGACGGTAAAGGAAAGAATCTTGTGGATTCTCTGATTTCCATTTTTGAACTAGCCCCTCCAAATTCTTTTGGTCGATGGAAGAGAAATGGTTTGGTTTGCCTTTGTACAAATGATTGTATATGTCCTTGTTTGTAGGATAAAATCGTCTGCTAGTTTTGTCTGGCGGTTTACATCCCTTAAACAGGTCACATTGAACGAAAAGCTCAAGGTATCTGCGTGCCTCGCTTACTGAGTGGACACCCTCTTCGGCTAACTCTGAAAGCTTCTCCACTATCGCTATGTCCAGAGGCTCTCTTATACCAGCAACCTGTCATGTAAAAAGATAATTATAAATAATTCACCTGGCACAGAATAAACACTTGAAGTCCCACTTTGGGCGTAACCGTTGCAACGGTTACACCATGTCCCTAGCGTGTGCGCTTACGAAAGACTCCCCCCCCCTGAACGCTTACGCCAAGCCGCCTATTTGGAACGTTTTCAGGGAGATGGCGACGTCTTCTTAGCGCACTGGCTAGAGTGCTTTGCGTTTGCAAATAACATGGCGTGGTGGCGGTTACACTAACATCAAAGGCACCACCGACACGAAGTCGGACTTCTGTAAATGTTTATTCTGTGGTATTGAAGTGTTTTCTTGAAACGTTGGATAGGATAAACTTGCGGTTCACCGGTTGCGATAATGTACTATATTAAAATATTATCATTACCAAATGTTGTCATTAGTAATTTATAATTCTGCGTCAATATTTATTTTCATACATGCAATTCCCTTTAACTTTTAAACAAATTGTTACCTTCCCAGTTAAGTGATATTGGTGTTCAGAAGGATGAGGTAACTTTACGATATACCGCATTTCAACACCGTCACTTGCAATAGTGTTTTCCTTCAATTTTTCGTGCAATTGTTTTGCAATTCTTCTTCTGAAGAATATACTGTCTTTTTCAATCTAAAGAATAGTGTATACGTCATGTTTGCGGGGTTTTATGTATGTTAGAAAAAGACTTATTTTATCGTTTGTTTACAACATTTAAAGACCTTCATTTGCGGAAATTTTGCAATTTGTGTGATGAAAATTGTAGCTGGGCATTCTTTCTTTTTAGATGTCTGAGCAAAAGATCTTCTCTGGGTATGGTAACAATGGTCGGCACCCTGTAAAATGAAAAGTAAAATCCGCTTATTTGTAGAAAGCTGTGTATGCCTATTAGTATTTGCTAAATGTCTTGTTACCCGACTGCTGCGAATCTTCTCCTTATTTTTTTGTTTTGCTTTTTCATTTTTGTCTTTCCCTTGGTGACACCACAAGACTTTCTCTCCAACATGCACGAATGGTATTCCGTCGTATGCAATACTTGGCCCTTGGTTACCATCCTTTCTCTCCCAGAAAACCTTAAGTTTGTCTTTTCTAACTTCTAAAAATCAATTAAACAATAAAAAAAGTCGAATTCTGTAAAAGCGTAATATTATTTATTATCAGTATATTTTGCATACATTTTTGTTAGTAGAAAAGAAATTTGTAGTCATAAAAGTATTAATAAATTTGTTATTTTTGCTGTGTCCAGAGTCTGTGTCAGAGGGGGGGGGGGTGAACTTAAAAGTTTGGGCCCTCTTCCTTTTGACCCCCCCGGTACGCAAAAAAATTTCCGGAAAAAGGTGAGGAGGGGGAGATATACGTTTTCCTGAAAATAAAAGGTCCAAAAAAATTTTTCGCAAACCTGTTTTGGATAAGGGGGGGAATACGTTTTTCAGAATTTTTCGACCTTAATTTTTCACAATATTCCTAAATGTTTAACACGTTCCGCAATTCCAGCATTTCGGGCCCCCCTCTTGGGAAATTGGGCCCCTTCCAAATTGCCCCCCCCCCCTTGGTATTTATATAAGCCCCCTGATCTAATTTTTACGCCCTGATAATTTAAAGATTTTTAGAAGTTGCACGGATACTGCACCTCAGTCGCCTCTCAGAGGTGTTGTGTACATGTCTTCGTTGCAGGTGATGTGCAAAACCTATTGCTTTATGCGCTAATGACATACTTCTTAATATATACTATACGTTAACAGTAATACTTGCCATTTGATCCAAAGCTCTTGTCACCGTAGTAAACAACGAATTTGCTGCTCGTCTCCGTCTCGTATTCTTTAATCAGAGCTTTTACATCGGACTCGCTTTGTACTACGGCCACCTTTTGGTCGCCAACATAGCTCGAATTTATATTCGCCGACATGCTTCGGATGACAAAGAAAAATTAACGTATAACTGTATAATTTCAATTAAAGTAACAAGACCTGTTATCAATTTGTATACCTCGGAACGTTTCGCGCCAATTGAATTTCCCGCAAAATTTAAAAAAGCCGCGCGAGTAAGAAAACATCCTTCAAAAGGAGTGGCAAGTTCGTAGAACGCTCGTAACTGATTTCCGAAGATTTTGGCAAACTCGTACCCAGTCTTCTCGCGGTTACCTTATTTTGAAGTATACTATCTAGCGATTTCCCATAGTTAATGCATACATGTAGCGGACAACCGGAAATATGCTACAACCGGAAATAATTTTAATTGGCTGATATTCTGGGGGTGGAAAGCCCGTAGAGGCGAATTGTGTCAGGCTCTATTCAATACCGAGAGCCTGATACTCAGGTTAGATCAGATCGGACATCGATATTCGAAATAAAATGAATTAATTATCCACGCATTATCGCAAGAATTAATTACCCATGCATTTATCAAAGCATTATCGCGGTTGTCGCTGCATTTTTCGTTTGATACTTCAATTGGACGAGACTTTGTCAGCTTTTTGACATGTATATCTTGTTTTTATATTTATTTGGTTAAACGTTTCAACTTGAATGAGAAAGTTATTTTGTTAAAGGATTCTTCGGATCGGATTGCCGAAATTCTGAAAACTCGGATCGGATCGGATTAGCCAATTTCGGATCGGATTTTAAAAATTAGCTAATTGTCGGATTCTAAACGTCCAATCCGATCCGATGCACACCTCTAATAATTATGTATTCTTATGAAGAATAATCCGTATATAAAACATCAGCACAGATAATGGATTAATGGGAAGCGAGAACAGGGTAAACTAACATTTTTCAAATAAATGGTACTTGAAGAATGGATGAAGGATGATACAAAGACTATGGGCGATCCAGATTGTTTTAAATATCCATGGTCGATCCGACGGAAAAACTACCAAAATCCAATCCGACAGAAAAAAACAACAAAATCCGATCCGAATACGTAAAATTTGGTCCGAATCCGATCCGCACATCTCTCCTGGCTCGGTCATCAATAAAAATATAGAAACTTCCATAATCCCTGAACGGAAATAGATGTTGACAAACAAAAAACGGCAATATTGTTCATTCTAAAGAGGATTTCTGGGGAAACAATAATAAAAAATTCGTTTCAAATATGTACTTCATGAGGGGAAAATGTGAATTCACATAACTCTCTATAATGGAGTATTTATCAAGTTTTCTCATAAGTCTGACCAAAAACATCGCAGGTTCGAAAGCAATATCGAAAATCGAAATTCCAGGAAATATATATTGGATATTCCAGGAAATTGAGTATTTGGTATCGTATCCGGCCACTGGTTTTATCATTGATGATTGATCTGCCCAAACCCATCCTTAAAATATTATATTACAGTATAAAGCTCGTCCTGCGATCGAATGTTTTGTGTTTTATTTTAATCATTAAAAACGCTTTTGTCATTTTTGGTACGTGCAAAAACATAGGCTAGCTAGACGCTGGTATTGTATTTTTATGTTTTAAGTTGCTATTAAAATCAAATGAAAAGCTAAACGAGAATTTCATACGTTTTAGTTAACTTGATATCATGGGCAATTGTTTGGGTTTTGGACCTGAAGGTGTGAGAAAAGGAGCATGTGCTGCACGCATCCAGGCTTGTTGCTATGGTGGAGAAATTCCTGCTGGTGGATGGTTTGCCTGTTGCCAGAGGAGAGGTGCCAAGGGTGATGGTAAAGGCTCAACAGTGACAGTGTGCTTTGGACTGTTTCTTGGTATTTTGGGTATCTTATTCATTGCAGGGGGAGTTATGGTTGGCTACTACCCAAAGAAGCTTGAGGAGCCGATACTTTTCTATGTTGAAGATGCCACACAACATGAATTCTTGCCAACGTATCAGCTCATGATTGCAATTGGAGTCTTTTTATTCCTATCAGCCGTCTGTGCCTGTTGTTTCGGTGTCGGAGATGGTGACAAAGTTGGAGGCTGTTGCTTGCTGCTTGCTTTCATCATGGTCATTGTTGTGGTTGGCCGCCTAAGCTACAGTGTCAGCAAATTTGACAGCGAAAGAGTAGAGTCCGATATAAGGAAGAATATGATGGCTAAAATAAATACCGGTAGCACGGACCCCATTTTGGATTACATTCAGCAAAATTTAGAATGTTGTGGAGTAGAGGGACCATCAGATTGGCAGCATAACATCAAGTTTAACAATGAAACTGTTCCCGACTCTTGCTGTAAAGTTGAAACTCCCGACTGTGGACAGAATTACAGACCAGATAACATATTTCTGGGTGGATGTCTGACCAACATGATGCACAAGATTACAACATACTTTTACTGGCAGATAAGCTTTCTGGCATTTTTCTGTCTCACTGCAATTTTTGTAATCTCCTCCTGTTGTTGTATTATTTTTGCTAATTGTAGCAGCTCAGGCCCCTATACTTTACTAAAATAGTGTTAAGCCTTAGTTTGTTCGGGCCGAAGCTGCACAATAGTTATAATATATAATTCAAAATAATTATTTAAAATATTATACCTCGACTTTAAACCATTCAATTAAAAAAGGTGCAATAATTCAAGATTTTTAGTTGTGACAGGGTGCGATAATTCAATATTTTTAGTTGTACATGACTGGTATGCCAATGATTATAATAGAAGTACGCAAATTATCGCACCCTGGCACCATGTGCTGATGTGAATTTTATAGTATTTCAATCTATTCCATTTCCATGATCTTGCAATGTAGCATGAGATACAATTTATATACATTGTAGCTAAACATTGTTACCGTATATTAATGCTTGTTATAGAGTTTGACTGAAATGTTTTAATGTACATTGTTGTAAAATGTTTATCATTGTTAATTAAATATACATACTTTTTCTATGGTTTATATTGAATTTTTCTTGGTATATTACATAATCATTAATATACTCTCCACTCAGGGGATTCAGATGGAATATTTATATTCATAGTATCATCAATTATATTATCATTTATATATGATAATCATCACTTCAGTAATGTTTGTGATGTTTCAACTTTTAAAATTTGCAGTTCAAGGACCTGTTATCATAATGCCATGATGTACAGATATTAGATTGCTTTTATTTTTTATCTAGGTAGTTTATTGATCAACTGATCAATATCAGGATCAATATCAAAACCGTTTTTACAGTCCCACCTAAATTACAAAACTGACCGAAGAATCATATATAATCACGATCATACAGTATATGTAATACTATATGCATAAACTGAATATACAATCACTAGTTTAGTATATATAAGTTATTTAGCCATTGAAAGTATAATTACTCCTATTGATTTCTCAATTCCTAGATTTTTCAACAGATTTAAAAATTTTGATCGCATTTTTCTGTTGCCCAGACTGTTCAGTAGGAATACAAGACTGCAAGTCAAACAAAGGTTTAACCTCGCCCTCTCTTGCCACAAGGACCATCCAAATAATGTTCACTCGAAGATTCGGATGTTACTGGTTACAAATTGTCATGAATTGATAGTCTCATCTCAAGACCTATACACTCAAGACCTATACACACGACTGAAAAACAATAAAGCTTGATCGGAATGCAGATAGTCTGTACAGCCAAACTTCTTTTCGTTTCTTCAGGTGTTGGCTTCCTCATTTTAGTTATGAAGTATTTTAGTGAAACAAGAAAAAACAGTAAAATAGACCTCTATATTTGCAAAAGAAGTTCTAACAGATCAAACCATTTACTCAATAAGTTGTAATATAACTTCAATATAAACTTATAACAAGCTAAATGGAACAAAAACATCTTCATTGAATATGGGATAGACTTATGGAAAATAAATGTATGCTGAAATAAAACTATCAGTTATTTGTTTGCACTTTGCCAAGTAAGGGCCTTTTTTTGGATGGAACAAAACTTAGAAATTCCTTAAAAATTTCATTTTTCCTCAGTCTCGGAGCAACATGTTGGAAATGATACCTACTGGTTCTTTTGCGCATGCTCAGTGCCAACGTCCGGTGCCAAGAAAAGAACAGGACCGACCGAATCTTTCCGTTAACCGAACAGCTTGAGTTTCCCTCCATAATTTAAAATTCACCTGATGAGTGTGGCAAGCATTGCTTGTCATACGAAACAAGTTTGTAGTGAATAAATCTTATGAAGTAAACCAGGTTTATTTTATCTTTATCTACATATATATATATATATATATATATATATATATATATATATATATATATATATATATATATATATATATATATATATATATATATATATATATATATATAGCTTAAGGTTTTGGTTTACGAAACACAAACAGTGCTCAATACCATATAGATAGAGCGTAATATAGTTTTTCGTTTTACCTCAAAAAACCACAACAGTCTGTTTCAACCGTATAGGAATCATCAGGTGGTGAATAATTTCGGAATTGTAGGTTCCTTTTATGCTATCGATATATATATATTATATATATATTATATATATATATATATATATATATATATATATATATATATATATATATATATATATATATATATATATAGATAGATATATAGATAGATAGATAGATAGATAGATAGATATCTTTTATACACGGGCCATAACACATTCACGAAGCCATACAGTTATATCAGTAAATATGAAAGAGCTGTTTATGATTATGTATAAAATCAGTAACAAGATAAATGGCTTCTATAAAGCTATTAAATGCCATAAACAAGGAAGTGTTTAATACCTGTTGTATTTTATATACAAAACAAATACTTACATTGTTTAATTGACTGTCAGCGACAAAGCTGAAATCAAATTTCCCTTGATCGGGCAAAAATGCATCTTCTTCGAATGCGAGAGAAACACAGCACACAAGAACAGAAAGTGTATGCAAGATGGAAGTATAATATGCCATATTTTATTATTTTTAAAAACAATAAACATAAATAAATATTAAATAATTTAATTGCGGATCGCGGATATTGAATGTGATTGATGAATCCCAGACACCAGGATATCGATTGTTAAATGGGAGTAACTGTGTATAAGGGGGGACAACTATGTGCAAAGCAAATTTTGAAAATTTTTCAGTTACTCACCATACTCCCATATATCCCTACTTATCAACTATTACTGCAATTATAAAATTAGAATAATTACCGTATACATTCCAAGTAACACTCGCCATCTAATAAACGCCTCTTCCAAACATTGATATTTGCATTATTTGCATTATGATATTTGTATTTTAAACTAATGGACAACTTGCATGTTAGACTAATTTTTAATCTAAGTAAAGAGAAGGCAATGAAACACCACAGCTAAAAAGAACATAATGAAATTAGTAAAATTGCAAAATTTGGTTGCGAAATGATATAAGGGACGGACCATTAGATATTTGGGAGGGGGCAATTTTTCTGCGCACGAATTTTTTTTCATCCCCCAATTGCTTGCAAGAATTTTTTTCGGCAACATTCCTTTGCACGATATTTTTTTATAGACGACCTAAAAAATTTTCCCGAAAAGTTCGTACGATTTTAAAAATCAGCCCTAGTTCTTGCTCGATTTTTTTTTCAATAGGTATTTTTTTTTGGATTTTTTCTGTGCGCGAATTTTTTTGGTATTCCCCCCCCCCCCCACCCACCCTATACAAAATATGCAAACTTCGCAAGGCTATATTTTCCGTATTTTACAACATTTCGTAAACAAATTTTACAATTGCCTATATCAAAAATTAGTCTAACATGCAAGTTGTCTATTGAAATTTTCAAATACTCGTTCCAATTATTGAAATTTTACATGAAAATAGACCAATGATTTTGTCTGTTTATACTTTAATATAGTCTAATATTTGCTTCATTACATAAATCTAATATATGCATCGTGCAACGTAGTGCAGTATTATAGTGTACAAGATTTTAGAAATATAAAATTAATTTCAGTTCAATTCTGGATATAAATTTGTATATTACAAAAATACAGTCGACATGAATATTAATTGCTGCACTGTTTATTGCACTTATTTCCTCGTGATAATAGGGTTGAGGATAAGCTTGTGATTGGGCCAAGAGATAGAATAAGAAAAGAGAAACTTGTGCGTGCATGAATTATGGAGATATAACCTTCATGTGCGCCTATGGAAACGAGGCTATTTGGGGAAAAATGCAATAAACAGTGAAGTCTATTACGACATGAAATATTAAATTCATAGTGCTATATAAAACGTTTGCATATTATTTCCTGGCTTAATTATATTATATTGTTTTGATAGTAAGCACATATACTGACTTTAGCACATCCCGCTTTTTTAAACTGCGTATTATTAATAGACGCTTTCTGAATTTGCTGGCAGGCATTAATAGAAACTACACTATTTACATTGATTGCATCATCCGCCTCGATTTCAAGCGTGTGCAAATTCATCAAGCGTCTATTTATACGAACAGCAAACCATAGCCTATCGCAGGGAAGATGGCTGTGAAACTCATCAGAATAACAATATAATTCATTATCTATATGTTACTCAACGTTTATTCGTAAATCTGGTCCTTCACCGTCACGTGTGTATTGTATTTTTGCCAAATCCGCCAATAGCAATTTCCAATTTACCCTGTTGTTCGAGTCACGGATAGGTAACTTTCCTAAGACATTGCTATTGAGTTTCATAGCGATCCTCCCTTCGATAAGCTATGAGCAAACCAAATGGGATGTATAATTCTTTCTCAAACTCATCATTATTCATGAGCAAAAACAAAGAAAATCTTCACATTCGTGGTGTGATAATCCGTGTACTTATACGTACCGGAGGTGTGCGCCAATATTACGGTTTACAACTTCTTTGTTTTAAGTCAAGTGCCACGCAAATACGGGACTCTGGCGTACTTACATTTTGTTGGAAGATCACATGATCTTTCCATGCGCAAGGCATTTAGCAGGTATATGTGTAAATCCGACATGAGTTGGGATGGAACACGATTTGACTGACGAGGCTAATGAATGTTGGAGTCAATTGTAATGTTGATATATACAATTCTTGTTCCATCTTGTTCTAACTTAGGTTACTGAATGAATACCTTTCAGAAAATTGTCCTTTACGTACTTTCTCTTAAAGACTAAGACTTAATATGTTGGTGCTCAAGTGCGCGGCAGTAATTATTGGAGCACCAGTCAGGTACGGCTGAGATTCTTGAATTATCGCACCCACATCACAGTAATAAATAAAGATCTGTAAATGAAGATAGCGTTCGTGTCGATATTTTCTCATTCTCCAAACCGAGTTGACGTCATCAATCTCACTCATACAACATCTCACATTCAGATTTTTTGATGGACGAGAGAGATGGAAATTTTAGGCGGAAAAGAGTTACAATGTAAGACTGTTGTTGCTTAAATTGGATTGCTGGGAAATTCCAGTAGTATTTCAATATTCCGTAGGAAATATATTA